TTCGATCTCGTTGTGCTTCTGGTCCATATGTTAATCAACATTATTACTCTTCGTATAATTCCTATGCTAATGCGAGTGGACCTCGATATGGATATGGTTCTTCCTCTGGATTTGCCTCTCGCTCTGGTTCTAATGTCGATGGCTTGTTCACGAATTTTCATATGCTGCTCCGGTTTCTCACCACGCGTGCGTTTCTTCTCAATTTGGCTTTCGCCGGGTATTCATTCGTTACCCTAATATTTTCTTCCAATACGATTTATGTTTTGAATTCTGATAGCAACTTGCTTCGACGCTTACTTTCGCTAGAGAAATGCTCCTCTTTCCATGTCTAAATTTCCGTTTCGGAAACAAGTGTATATCTGTTGAAAGAAAGCGTAAATGTATCTGCACTTCTGCAATCCTGAATCTTGATTTTGCATCCGTTTTTCCAATTAGTTGATTGGATATATTTGTCACCGTTGATTGGCTCTTCACTTTTTCAATTCAAGCTTTTGGATTATATCCTGGTGCTTCTTCATCTACGCTGTTTTCAGCCCAAAATTTATTCCCCGATTCTCCACTTAAGCTTCAGTGTTCGTTATAATTTAGTATGTGAATTTGCTCGATGATGATACTGCAATACTTCATGTAAAACCATTAATTCTTTTAAACGTTTTTGAATTCTTGTATCATTTTTACCCTTCCAGAGATCATATAAACTCCTTCTAAATAGTTGATACCTTAACTAAATTATACACAGAATAGTGTGTATTTGATGGACAACATGTGAATATTCTTAGCTAAACCCCTTGGTTCAATAGTAGCAAGAATTTCTTGGAACATTTGATTTGTGGGGAGGATTTTTGTTCCCTGGATAAGGTTGACAAACCAGTTCTTACTGTCATATGAATCTTCTTTTTCTCCCGAAACAATTGAATCTGAAAGTTGCCCCAAGTAGAAATTTGAGATTGGACAAAAGGTTGGCTGCTCACTAGAGAGGAACGGGACTGAAAACAAAACAAACCAGGGGAACCAAAAATTGGACAATTCTTGAACCGTGACTGAACGTTTCAAAAATTACATTTTTAGCTTTCAAAATTTGGCTTGATTTTTGGTATATGTAAAATGTAGATAATTAAAGAAACGAACTTATTAGTGGAAGTAGTGTTTATAAGCTTAATTTTCAAAACCAAATAAATATAGTTATCAGACGGACCTTATACTATTTTATTTTCTTGCATTAGACATGGTCGTTGGTTTCATAGTCAAGCTGTGAATATGAACTCTGCTGTATGATTTGGTTATTATATGTAAAATTGAGAATAATATATGAGTTTGAGTTTATCTTGGAGCCTTCTTCAACCCCAATTATTCTCTTCCAATGTTTACAATGTCTGAGTTTATTGAGCCTGGGCTCTCTGACTGGGAATTATTACATATTTGTGCAGTGTTTTAGTTGGTGGCATTTTTGCAATTGACACAAGCGGGGAGGCCTTGTGGAAGATGCACAATTCTGGGGTATGTAATTATTTGTTCTCTTCCCACCCTCGCTCCCAATTTACCCCTACCAAAATGGCACATTTCCAGTGATGAAATATCCTGCTCTTTTGCAGATTTTGCGAATCATACTTGTATGTTCTTATTAATAGTTTTGAGCATAGTTATGACTTTGGTCTCTGAACTTTCATACTTGTCTTGACCTTTACGTTTTCAAATATTATGTTTTATTCTCTAAACCTTGCATAAAAAACTTGAATCATACTTGTATGTTATTATTAATAGTTTGTCCCTGAATTTTCATACTTGTCTTGGCCAATATTATGTTTTATTCTCTAAACCTTGCATAAAAAACTCAAATCATACATGTATGCTTATTAATAGTTTTGAGCATAGTTGCGACTTTGGTTCCTGAATTTTCATACTTGTCTTGGCCTTTGTGTTTTCAAATATTATGTTTTATTCTCTAAACCTTGCATAAAAAACTTGAATCGTACTTCAATCATACTTGTATTTCTTATTAATAGTTTTGAGCATTGTTACGACTTTGGTCCTGAATTTTCATACTTGTCTTGGCCTTTACGCTTTCAAATATTATGTTTTATTCTCCAAACCTTGCATAAAAAACTCGAATCATACTTGTATGTTCTTATTAATAGTTTTGAGCATAGCTACGTCTTTGGTCCCTGAATTTTCATAATTGTCTTGACCTTTACGTTTTCAAATATTATGTTTATTCTCTAAACCTTGCATAAAAAACTTGAATCATACTTGTATGTTCTTATTAATAGTTTTGAGCATAGTTACGACTTTGGTCCATGAACTTTCATACTTGTCTTGGCCTTTACACTTTCAAATATTATGTTTTATTCTCTATAACTTGCATAAAAAACTCGAATCATACTTGTATGTTCTTATTAATAGTTTTGAGCATAGCTACGATTTTGGTCCCTGAATTTTCATGCTTGTCTTGGCCTGTACGTTTTCAAATATTATGTTTTATTCTCTAAACCTTGCATAAAAAACTCGAATCATACTTGTATGTTCTTATTAATAGTTTTGAGCATAGTTACGACTTTGGTCCCTGAATTTTCATGCTTTTCTTGGCATTTGCGTTTTCAAATATTATGTTTTATTCCCTAGACCTTGCATAAAAAACTAGCCTTCGTCATTGAACTTTTGATCCTTTGACAAAAAACTTAATTAATTTGGAAACTTAGACACTTGACCTACTATGAGGATTTGAACAATTGTCCATGTAGACACATGTTGATGAGATAATAAAAAGTGTGCCATTGTCCGAATGATTCGTGGAGTAAAACATAATGTTTAAAAGCTTATAAACCAAAATAGAATAAGCACAAATATGTTATTAGTAGACTCTTAAACCGTATAGGCGTTTAAAATTACTTTTAAAACAAAGTATATTATTCATAGATTTTACAAACCGTGACAGAGAACCACGTCAATTAGGGAGAAGAATGAAGCATTCTTTATAAGGGTGTGGAAATCTCTCCCTAGCAGCCACGTTTTAAAAATCTTGAGGGGAAGCCCGAAAAGGAAAACCCAAAGAGAACAATATCAACTAGCGATGAATTTGTGCCGTTACATAACGACTAACTGCTGCGAACTATTCAAGCAATGTTTGTGTTTATTGAATGCTTTCTGTGACTGGAAATGTTTGTTTTCCTTACAGAAATCGTTTGAAGAAGCCATGGCATCAATCGATAAAGCCAAAACACAAGAAGATGCTTAAAGGGCTTGCATTGGAAAGTCATTTCCCTACCACCGGATGGCGTTTTCATGTCTTCTTCCTGTGGGGATCACATTTCTCAATGTAAGTGAAGTTGAAACTGACTGGACTGTACAAAGAATCGGAGAGCTGCATGAAATGTACATATACTAATCTTTTTCTTAACCCCTCCTGCTTCATGTCATTATAGATATATAGATTTTATGAAACTTTTTTTAAGTGTTATCTGCATTTTCATGCGCCTCATGGGGCGCAGTGTTGTCTGGTGTGACAAATTTCGCCACGAATTCGAGCATACTCTAGTGGATAAGGTATCGATTACGATGTATTGCAAGGTAGGGGTTGTATTTTAGAAGAAAAATAAAAACTGTGTTCATTATGGTCTTATATAACGACAATTATTTAAATATGTTTGCATGGTCGGAAAAGCCAAAGGATCTAACGTATCAGTTACTTGAAATGTGTTTGGATAACGTCTTTTTTTTTTGGATTGGGGGATAGGGAGGAGAAGCAGAATGATATTTCTGTAGGATTTGTGTATTAAAAGATGGGCTTTTTGGGACTATTATTGTCTGTCATTTTCAATTTTGTCTCTATTTTTTTTCTTTAAAAAATTATTCTAATTTTCTCTTCATGTATTAATTCTTTTAATCAAACTATACTTTGGAAAAAATGGGTTTATGAGATATTTCATCTAGCCTTGTGTTTTCTTATTTAAAAAAAAAAATTGCAAATATTGAAGATTATTTGATTTTTTCTTTTTTTTTTTTGTTGAATTTTTCGTTTATTTAATCATTTTTCAAAAACGAGTTTCTATCTTTTCTGAGAAATATTTGATTTGGTTTTTATTAGTCAAATTGTAAAAACAAAATATATATATATATATATATATATATATATATATTTGAATAATAAAATTAACAAAATAAGGAAATTTATAAGGCTTCATTTTTAAATCTAAAAGATAAAAAATTAAATATTTATCAAACGAGTTCTTATATAATATATCACAATGGTTTTGGTTTTGTATACGATATATACACGAATGCGTGTATATATTCCGTAAAAATATGTTAGGGATTGGTAAAAATTACTTCGAAATATATTGTTAATTAATTAATTAACAAAATTAACTTTAGTGATTTTACCCTTTTAGACCTGAATTTGTTCTATTTCCCTTTTTCTTTCTTTTTAAACTATACATTAATTACAAAATAATTTTAGGGATACATAAGTAATTTCAAGCCAATTCTGGACTTCAAAATTGAAATTTTTTATACAATATGGTCGTTTATGTAAATTGATTAAATTAGAAGTTTCAAAAATTTTATTATAGTGTCATAATTGTGTTGTTAAAGAGTTTTTTTAATTCTCGACTCCAACCTTTTTGGAGTAAAAAATAATAATAATAATAATAAATAAATTACTTTGGTAGTTATTTAAATTCTAAATTAATAAATATATTATAAACTTTATATTAATATTCCTAAACTTTTAAATTTTTTCAATAATACTCTATTTAACTTTAAACAAAAACAAAATTAACACTCAAAACAAAAAATGCATTAAAAGTTAAAAAATATCCTTATAATTAATATGGTATTTAAAAAATATTCATGAAATTTTAAAATTAGCATCAACACCTCTGCCTTAAGTTAAGTATTTTTTAGTTTTTTTTTAAAATTTATTATTTTAAGTTGATGAATGAATAAAAATCGACAAAAAAAAAAAATTGCTATTTTTTTTTTATCAAGTAGTTCATCGCCTTAATGATCAATGACACGTTCATTATTATCAATAGTTCATAGCACTAAGGATCAACCTAACATGGAAATCAATCAACAACTAATTAGGATAAACGAATGCAACAATTATTTTTCGAACGATCTCAAACAGAATCTATTGCTCTACAAGCCCTCCCTATGATTTCCATGGTCTTCGTTGCATCCGCCGTCAACCGTACATGGGAGCCTTAGACCTGAAAATATAGGTAACACGTGGCTTAAATATTTTACAAAATAACTAGTAAGTTGCCCCACTGTTGGGGTTAGGCATGCAATACACATTCATGACACATATGCAGGTCACATACAACACGCAAAAGCACAAACACAAGCACAAAAGAGAAAAAAAGAACGTGAGGGGGACCTGTCTTCCATTCCTTTACATGGCCTTATGCCCTTGTTTATTTGGGCAGGTGGATGTATTGTACTTCTCCACACATGGTCCATGTATGTAACCGTGGGCCCACCAGGCAGGTTCGCATGCAAACCCCCTGGGCCTGCCTTGGTCGGGTATGCATGACATACGTTATTGGACACCACGAAAAAGGAGGGGTCTGCTTGATATCATAGCGAGCATAATATTGAACGTATGCGTCCGTACCATCATTAACATAACGAGGAAGTAACCCTATGCACATGACACACAACATGCATGAGGTCCCTAAAACTTACCTCCATGGCATTATGCATACAACGTTCCATCCCCTCGCCGCATTACATAGCATGACTTGGTTAAACATCACGTAAATATATCGTAGTACGCCAGTCATCACATTCATGGCATGCAAAGTTCTCATTACAATCATGACATGTCAATCAATTTCATGACATGTCAATCAATTTCATGAGTTCAGGGTAACAATTCATGACAAAAAACATCACATACACACAACAAGAAAACACATGGCAAAGCATACATCAACAACACACATGGTGCATGCAAGGGCCACAGGGCACGCACCGTCATAAATAAATAACTAACGCTAACAGTAAGGTTACTTACCTCCCTGACCTTGACCGAAGTCACTCGCGATATGCTAACTCCAACGCCTAACTACTCCCTATAAAACCACATTATACACTTAGAGCCCCTTCACAGTTAACTTTATGCCCAACCATCAAGATAAGCTCCTATCATAACCTGTTTCTATCAAAGTGGAGTTATACTGACCAGATGGCCGGAACAAGGGTGGGAATGGCTCAGGAAGGGTTGAAAACCTAGGAGCCGAGCCGAGCCGCCGACGGAGCCGACAAGTCGAGAAGGTCACTGGCGACGCTCGGCTTCTGGACGAGGGCTGGTGTCGCTGTTCTTGGGCCGGGATTGATAACGGCCCAGCGTCGGTGTCTGAGCGCGGGCTGCAAGGCACGGGCCGTACGCTGGCTGAGGCGAACTCACGGGACAGTGGAAGAACCGACCCGCGATCCGCCGCTCCGTCTTCCTCACCCGAGGGTCCCGACGAACCCTAATCGCGGAAACAGACTGCTGTCGCCTTTGAGACCGCCGCCGTCCGGTTGTCCTTAACGGTGCGTCTGTCCCTCTTGTTAAGAATACCCCGGTGCTGGTTCGTTCCCACCTAAGAAGCCGCATTTAACTAACAAGCCGCACAGATGGGTTTTTATTGTTTTAGCTTATTGGATTTACGCTGATTTTTGCTTTTCTTGTTCAGCTAAGCAGACCAGTATAACTTATACCGTCACAACTCTATTTTCACGCACTCTCTTCATTATGACATCAGAGGGATCTGAATCAAAGGTATGAATGTTCTTCAACCTCCCTCTCTGAAAAATGTTTCAGGATATTATGAGATGTTTGTGTAAATAAAATGTTCAGAAACTAGAGGATTGTAAGGATAACGACGTGCAGTAAGGGCTAGGCATAGTAGTTTAAAGTAGAAGATGGGTCAATGGAGCCATGTTTGTAAGGTTAGGCATAGGTTGAGTCTCTTTCTTATATTGAGCCCAAAAACGCAATTCTGCCTCTAGTCCATATTCTTGCAATTCACTTCAAATCAACTAGAGGAGAGTGGCTACAATTTCTCAAGCCATTGTAGAATAAGTTGATTTCCAGGGTGAAGTAAAAAGCCTATATGGGTATAAACAAGGCGGTGAATGACATGGAGCATGAAACATGGGTAATTTGACATATTTTATGTATGTTAGAAGAAAGAAAGGGGCGCGAAGGTAGCAGTTGAATGGTTAGTTTGTTGGACAAGCGTAACTCGACACTTACGCCCATGGAAGTAATGTGTGCTTGAGTATTGAAAGAAGGTAGTGAGATTCTTATTGTTGGTAGGGGCGATGGATAGTCGGAACCTTTGACCATTGTAGACAACGGTGATCTTCCTAATAATGAGTTTGTTGTAATTTTTTATGCTTAGTATTACTCCCGTTGGATTTGTGGCTGTCCACTTGCTTTAGTCTTTATTACGTGCAGTACAAATTTTTTGCGGTAGTCTAACAAAATTTCATGAATCAAGAGTCTTAAGGGAAATTATTTCTAGTATAATTGGAAATTAACAAAATTTCCAATTATACTAGAAATAATTAATTTCCTGTTTGAGAATTTATGATTAAGGTCTAAAGTTTCTTTGGTTTGGACATTTGGTAAGTTTAATATGGTATTCCTTCCCTCTCCAATTCATTTTATAATTGTATCTCTATGTAATTAATGCCGATTGGATTGGGTTTTCTGAGCTCTGGGATCACTTTCCTCTCTTTTTTATATTTGTCTTGTCTATATCAGTGAGAAGTTACGACCTTACTCGAACATGATTTATTCTATAGGTTGTAAACATCGTTGAGAAGTTTTTTTTTTTTTTTTTTCTTTTCTTAATAGACTATTCTTAATCTGTGGAATATATGACTACTTGGATAAGGATCCAAGAGCCTTTTACACTATATTCAATACTCATGGTTAACTAATGATTGTTGTTGGATTGATACCTTTAGTAAGTTTTTCTTTGAAGGAAGAAGGAAGTCCGGGATTGCCGCTTCCCTTTATCTCTTAGTGTGGCACATTGTGTGTTACATTGTGTGTTACAACCTATTTATGCATGTAACGTCCATGTTCAGGATAAAACAGCCAGTAATAAACTTTTGGATGATTTGAAGTACAATGTTGAAGTGGCAGAAAACGTTGCTAAAGAGGCGCAGGTGTGATATCATCTATAGTTTTCACATCACATCACATCTCATCTCATCTACCTCTCCCTCTCTCAATGAAGTTTAAATTTGAATTTCCTCTGTGATTTAACACTAAATCCAATTATTTCCTGTTAGCGTTTGCCAATATCGGAGGCAACACCATTGTATGAGCAACTGCTGACGGTGTATCCCACTGCTGTGAGTTTCTTACATATTTCAATATCTTTTTTTTGTCTATTGTCACTTAGAGTATCTCCATTTTGAAACTTAAATCTTGCTTATTGTTGAGCTTGTGAGCAGCAATAGAGTAACTATTTCATAGGCTTAGTTAATGCTGGTTAGTACTTCTCATATTTTGCATATGATGATTATTCTGTTGACATTTTGTATTCCTTTAAAAATTCAAGGAACAACGAATTATTGATAATTAAATAGATTTGAGAGTAATCAACTTTAATATCAACAATTGTAACTTGCAACAATACCAAATTACTAATTTTGCTTCTATCGGAATAATTATTTTTGAAACCAAGAATGGTGTATACGACAGAGTGGGGCAAGGTTGGGTATCCACTTCCTCTAAATTCAAATAAGAATCTATTATAATGAAGATCTCTAACTGGCTTGAATTAGGAAAAGGAAATAATTTTAAGAAGGATCTAGACAAGGACTGCCATATGGCAGGAAGGAAGTACACTAACTCTTCATTTTCTATTGCCTGCCTAGCGACTCAGCACGTAAGCATCTTTGCCCATCGTGCTTTGGAATGATTGCAAATTGGTAGGTTGTAATAGGGGAAAGAAGTTTTAAAGGATCACTATAGGATGATGGATGACAGAGAATGTTTCTTACCATAGTCTTAGATAGAAATTGGTTAGTATGGTCAAGACGTTGTAGTTTAAAAGGATATTTATAGACTTCATAATGTGGATAGAATCATGGAACATGAACATCGTTGATTTAGTTTTGCCTGTCTCTAAGTTTGGATTGAAGAAGTGAGTACTATGTCATATTAATGAAAAGCTCATGATTTTCCTGTTATTGAGGATGCATAAATCTACCAATACTATGGTTCATGTTCTTTGTGTCTGTCTATGCGTATATGTTTTCCTACTTGATTACCTCATCTATTAGTTTCTCAGCTTATTGTCTCACACATGCACGGGTAAAAGTAGTTTTTTCTTTTTAGTTGGATGTAGCTTTATATATTTTAGATTCTATCTTTATACTATCCACTTTTCTTCAGGCTAAATATTGGAAGCAATATGTGGAGGCACACATGATTATTAATAATGATGATGCTACAAAACAGATATTTAGTCGGTGCTTATTGACCTGTCTTCACATTCCTCTTTGGTATGATCTTTGTTTCACCTATTAGTTATTTATGCATGATCCACAAGAACCTCACCTACAGGCAACATATAAAGTGTTACATTACTTGAAAGGGACTTTAGGAAAAAGAATCTTATTTAAAATAGAACAATTTCCTTGGCACCGATGCTGACTATGCTAAATTAATAGTAAACAGAAGATCTATGATGGGGCATTGTACTTTTGTCAGAGGTAATTTAGTGACATGAAATGGTAAAAAGAAAAATGTGGTGGCTAGATCATATGTTGAATCGGAGTTTCGTGCTATTGCGCAAGAGCCATGTGAGCTCTTATGATTGAAGAAAATTCTTGATGATTTATAGATTAAGGGAAAAGGTTCAATATAGTTGTATTGCAACAACAAATCATCTCTTACCATTGCACATAATCCTATCCAATATGATAGGACAAAGAATATTGAAATTGATCAACATTTTATCAATGAGAAATTGGAGAATGGAATAGTATATATTAGTTATGTATCCTCACAACATCAATTGGGAGATTTACTAACGAAAGGACTTTATTAGCTCAATGTTTCATGAGTTCGGATTCAAGCTGGGAATGGATGATATCTATTCCTACACTTGAGGGGGAGTGTTCAAGGAATAACCTTAATTTAAAGAATATTTGTGTAAGTCCTAGCCTTAATTTAAGGAATATTTATGTAATCCCATTAAATAAGATAATTAGTTAACCTCTCTTTTTTTCTGTAGTGTTACCTAATATCTAGGATCTATTTTTCTGTATTGTTACCTAGTATTTAAGGATTTAGTTAGCCTTTCTAGATGAGTAAGGCACTTATATTTAAGGGAGTAATAATAATTTACACTTGCAACACATCCAAAATTTTATTGAGAAGCCTGAAGGTAAATTTAAAAAATTTGGAATTTTAGGCGACGGCTATTCTTAAAATTGGCCTTTTGTTGTTTTCAGAGCTGCTTTTGAGAACCATTTTTGGTGACTGATAAACGTAATGCTTATTGTGCACGTGAAATTGTTATGTAATCTCACAATTTCACAAGGGCAAACTATGAAAAAATGAAAAAAAAAAAACCAAAAATGGTTTTCTAAGTATGTTTTTCACTGAATTTTTGGCTACATTTTTAACCATGCTGTCATGGTCAAATTTTTCTGAAAGAGTATACAGCATGTTTATCTTTGCACGTGTTGACGCTGTTAATAGTCTGGAACTGATTGTGTTAATTTTTTTTATCTAAAGGAACTAACTGTCCTGGGTAATTGTTCTGGTTAATTTTATCTATATACTATGGTTAATTAAAAATATATGGATTTTGGATGGACAAATGCTATACTTAGATAGCTAAATATCATAAATAACTGTGCCGATTTGTTTAATTGTTTATTACTGTGGGTTTAAGTTGCCTGTTTTGTCCCCATAAATCCATTTAAACAGTTAAACGGTACATACGCATGATTTAGATTTTAATCATTTTTACTGAGTGAAGTTTGGTAGCTTGAATACATTGGTGTTCCTTTTTTCATGTTCATGGCCTTTTTAGTGGAAAGACCTTTTGTTTCTGTCAGCTTCCTTTTAGTGGCTAAATTGAAGAATTTACTTCTGCTACTTTCGTTATTCAGGCGTTGCTACATCCGATTCATTAAGAAGGTCAATGAAAGGAAAGGAATGGAAGGCCAGGAGGAAACCAGAAAAGCTTTTGATTTTATGCTTAGTTATCTTGGTGATCATCTACACTTGATATTTTTTTTACCTTCTCTTTAAAGCTCTG